TGGCCCACTGCGCATGTCTTACATGTTGCCCAAGTTTTGGTTTGTAATGACCAATCAAAATGTAACACGACAACTGAAAAAATGCTAGCTCAATAAAAGCCGAGCGCGCGCTTTGTTTAGGGTCGACACTGATCTGAGCAACAAGCTCCTCTGTTGGCCTGTTTGCAAGCAATAAAATAGAGTTGGACCCAGCCTGAAAGTGTGACTCTCTTCTTGAGGTGAATTGGACTAGCCTCCAGGGGACAAAATTAGCAATTTATGCAACAACGTGGAGGGAGAGATTTGAGTCCGAAGCCCAGGCAATGCCATACTCTCTGGCACCGGGGGACGTGTGTGGGGGAGCAGAGGGAGGAGTGGACCTTAGCTTCACCACAAGCAGCTGCGTGAGGGTCAGGATACTCGACCTGGGAGTGCCAGGAGCAGAATTAGGGATTCCGCCCCTTCCCGCTCGGCTCGTGCCTAGGAACTGCACGCTTTGCTGGGGGGTCTGACACCGGCCCCAGCGGCACGGAAAGAAGGAGCAGAGCATCACCCGCGCTAACCCCGCCCCCAGTGCACTGCACTTGGCAGCAGTAACAGCAACTTGGGGCGCCCTGGCGGCCACGTGACGGCTGCCAGCGGGAGGCCAGCCCGGGGGTAGGACAGAGCAGCTCAGCTCACCCGCCCGCTACAGCTGTACGGCTTCGCTCAGGTGAGGCAGGCGGCTACATCCCGCCGCCTCCCTCGCCTGGAGCGATCTGTCTCCGGGGAAGCGCTCTCGGGCTTGTGCTTGGCCCAGCCGGAGAGGGCTGGGGGAGCAGCCCAGCTCTGGCCGCTCTGCTGCCTCGTAGCAGATCTGCTGCAACCGGCGACATCCCCTCTCTGCCGCTGTCCTGGCGCTCTGGGGCAAGAGCAGCCGGGGGAAATGGGAAGGGATTGTAAAATCAGGGCTTGTCATTTATTTTCAGCTGATTCTTCTTAAACGCTTCTCCGGGCGCGCTGGGCTGAAGTCCCAGGTCTTCACGTGGATGCTGCGCTCGTGAAGCATCCTCCCCCCCACATTCGAGGCAGATCTTGCCTCGGTCAGGCTTTGAGGACAAAAAAAGTCTTGTCCCCGTGGGTCAGGAGCTTGACGAGCTGGACTGCCCCGGGTAAGACGAGGAGGCAGTGTTGGAGAAGTGTGAAGAACAGGTACCTCTGGTAGAAAGCTGGGAATCAATGTCTAGGGTCTTTTTGGCTAGTAAATCTAAGACAGCATGTGTCAGAATTGTTTGCTATACAACTTTTTTCCTATAAAGCTACGTGTTTTGTTTTGTCTTTGTGTCAAAAGTTGATCTACTTGTTTGGTCAGTTATTCAGGGCACTGATGTGATGCTGTTGAAAAGCCTGTCGATGGGAGAGGGGTTTTTCTCTGCTCTTGTCTGCCATATTCTTCTTGGTACTACGAACATCCTCCGAATTTGAGAGTCAGGGCTTAAGCATATTTATGTTCTAGATATGGATGAGGAGCTGTCACAGTGAAAATCAAACCCTGCTCTTAATAGATTCTTTAGGTACTTGTAAAAGACGCTGTGCTTGAAACATGGTAACAGCTGTAACTTAGCATGTGCTTGATTTGTGTTTACATGCTAGTGGAGTAGCCGTCAGTGCATGAACAAAAACAGTATATTCCTGGCCCTGGAAGGATTTTTCCCTAAAGTATTGATGGATCTTTGTACTCCATGAATGCTGTCTGCCATCCATGCGGTAAAGCTGGCTTATCTATATCACTGGGGGTGGAAGAGGTGGATTGTGATCAGGGCAGCCAAGCAAGGTAGTTATTTATCTGTTGCTCCAAACAGGCTATTAATTACACAAATAGCTTGGAGGGAAATATAGGGTTATAGCTTTGGGTAGGGCATAGAAAATCTACTTGTGCTTCTGACTGAGGGAATCTTTACCAGCCGCTGCTGCACAATCTCTGTTTGTTTTAAACAAGCAGACAATATAGCTGTGAAGATAATCTTCCAAATGCAAACAGGTGCAGTGCCGTCTTTGTGATTTTTTCAAACAGGCTGCTCCAGTTCAGCAGGTGTAGAAAACAGAAGAGTGAAATCAGCAATATTTTTTTTTGGTTGATTTCAATATTAAGCCTTTGAGAAGGTTAAGAGAAACTGTTGGGAATCCTATCAATATCATGCTGCTGATTCTTGGAAAAATTGTGAGATGCAGAAGCAGAACCAAAGGCTAAAGTTATTGACTAAGAAGCAGAACACAACCCCCCAAAATCAGACTCTGTAGAAGGGGAGAGTAGTAAAGACTTCTGTTCTTCCTCCCTAGTTCATTACAGTTGTCAGCAGGCTCTGAAGAAAGAGTTGTGTGTTAGGAGATGGAGAAAAAGCTCATACTTTCTTATAGTAGAAGAGAGTGGAACTTCAAATTTATAATGCACCCAACTTGGTGAAAGTCAGTATTGAGTACACGTGCAGGTTCCAAGTACGGCATATTCATAGGAATCCCAGGACCTTTCCCTTTCCTGGTGGTTGGATGGGTCATGCTTTAGCTTCTGTTCAGGAGACCCACAACTCAAATGCCATTTCTGCAAGTAATCCAATAATTTGTGTGGGTGTTTGTGTGAAGGGAAACCTTGGGTAAGGCCGTGTTGTTAAAACTTAAATACTGAGGGACAAAGACCTAACTCCTATCTTTCCATTAAGAGAATAATTTCCCTGCTGCAGAGCAAACCATTGGGTTTATACACAAACCTAGTGATGTCCTAGATTAACACTGACCAAAGGATATTCCCTTTGAATTGAATTGAACCCAGAAGCCAAGCACTGCATATAGATTTTTGTGTTTCTGTGTTAGTAGTGGCCCATCAATGGTGACTGCCACAAGACATCCCTACCCTTCCCCCACAAGATTTCCCCTATGGATGGGGGAAGGACTCAATGCTGATGAATTGCTTCTACCTTGAGCTCTACAAAGCTAGGATGAGGTAGTTGCAGGCCTGGCTTACCCAGTCCCATTCTCTCCTGGCTTCCTACTTACCACCTTTCCTCCTGCCGAACACACAATACAGCTTGCTGGGTGCTACTCAGGTGGCAGACTTCTCACTTTTACAAAGGAGGGGGAGATCTATGGCTCTTGAAAGTGCAATCGGGCTCACTACCATGATCAGCCTGTCTCTCATTTGAAGCCCCAATAGGATTGCTTTTACCCTCTTTGGTTTTAAATCAATTTCCTTAAGATAATTGGGTAGTGTCTTACAAGCAGGTAAGATTGTAGTTTAAGTGGATTTTTTATCATAACTATTTTCTTTCAATAACTGAGTTGACTTTTGACTTACAAACAGCATAACAGCTAAAATCCATCTTGCTCCTGCAAGTACGGGATTCTTAATTTGGCCACTAGCAGGACAGCAATAGAAATAATTACTGAATATTCTTGGAAAAAAAATTCTGAATGAGCTAAATGTTTCTGGAGGAACTTGTAGAGTTAAGATCAAACAGAATTTTAATGAATCTAATATACCTATGGATGTCACTGAGGGGAAATTGGAGAAAGATTGTTAGAAAACTGGTAAGCAAGACTTTGTGAAGAAAAAAGCAAATGACCCTACATAATACAGGGATATATGTTCAGGATCTGTTCAGGGCTACATTGGACAATGAGCTTGCTCCTCAGCTGTTACAGCTGAGGCTATATTGAGTTCCTGAACAAAACTCATGTTCAGGGACAGATGAATTAGTAACAGCTGTTTTAGAAATGGGGCAATATATGGGAATAAAGGGACTAAAATAATATTTGTGTGTAATTCAAAGATGCATTTTATAACAGGACAATCTGATAAGCCAGGAGTGAGGCATGCCAGATCATATTGTATGTTATTTTTGTGCACTTGTTTGAGTTTCAGAGAAGGTAGTGATTTAAAGAATTTCATGGGGAATTGTATTTTTGATAAAGAACACATGGAGAGAGGAGAAAGATGTACTGGATATGCTGGAAAGATTGCAGTAGTTTGCACAGTGAGGTTACTTGGACAGGTGATGGGAGGTAACTAGCTCTGTTGCCACTAATACACAAGTGGCACACAGCATTTTATCTTGCTTTCCATGGATATATCCAGTGCCTTCGTAAGCATGGGATATAGCCTTTCAGACCAAAAGCTTCTCTTGTAGGCAGTTGCAGATGTTGCTGATCAGAAAAACAATGCAGGCCACAATTCTTGAATTGAAGATGCCTGCCTTTTGTCATCACTTACCAAACTGTTGTGTAACTTCTAAATACTATTTCAGCGGTTTAACAAGCTCCTGCAGTGCCCTTAGCAGAGTGCTTCCCACTGGAGCGGGGGCAGTCTTACCTGTCTCGGCTCTCTCTGCACTTTAGGAACAGCTGCAGCTGCTGCCTTAGTAGTATGAGCAAAGGATGATGCTTCAGCTGAGGAACAAGCTTACTGTATACCAGCTGCAGCAGGAGCACCAGAATCTCCTGCCCCTCTCTCCCACCTCCCTCAAATTCTTTGCTCTGCAGGTGCAGCTTCATGCCACCCAGCCATAGAAGCCAGGCAGCCCTGTGCTCTATAGGTAGGGGCAGGGCACAAAATGCTCATCTCTTGCCCCCCACCTCCTGTTTCTCCCAGGATTTTTGCCATGGGAGGTGCAGCTCCACTCCCTACCTTCCATAAATATGCACCCCCGGGTTCCTGCAGCCTGTGTGCAGCAAGTCTGCCTAGCAGTTGCAGCATTCCCATGGTGTGGGCTGCCCCGGTGCCCTGTTCTTGCCCCCATAGCAGATCTAGGGAATGTGGGGGAAGCATTGCTTACAAAAATTCCATAGGGGGCACAATGTTGCTCCCTGCTCCCCTACACTATCAGGTGTAGGGCTGCCTGGCTTCTACAGCTTAGTGCAGGCCTGTGTCTGCATAGCAAAGACTCCCAGGGTGTCTTCTCTAAGTTGGCATTCAGGCTGGGTGTCCTGCTTGCGTACCCCGGTTACACTACTATACTGTTTGATGTGTTGAGACTTCCTGGTAGAATAGTATCAGGGCAGAAAAGTTGCTGCTTCCAGCTTTAGCTGCTGGAAAATTTCTACTCTTCCTGCTAGATGGCATTCAGGTCACAGTAATCCAGATGTTTATCATCTCCAGGCTGCTCTTCTATAATTCACTGAATCTTGGACAAAAGCTAAAAGCAATACAGATGCTCCAGCTTGCGTAGAATCAGGAGGTTCTCCCCCTTCTATGTTCCAGGGAAAGGCAGACTAAAAGGGAACCTCACCACAAGTCGGGCCTACTACCAGGTCCTCTTCCAGGTTAAAAGTATAATCCCTTACAAGGATTAAGATGGAGAACAGAGAAAGTCCATGAAGTCTCCTAGTGATGAAACAATAAAGATCTAATTTCCCTGTGCAGCAGTTTGATATAGTAGTGTCGGGTTTCACAAAAAACACTAAGGTGGAGCATATATCTGTCTCTTGACTTTATTTCAAAATGGCATGCTGCCAATTTACTTTATCTAGTTTCTTCTGATTGACTTAATATGTATACACACTACACAGATGCATTCAGCTGACCTGTTTACTCACTTTTTTTCTCAAAAACAGGTGGCTCTAGTGGTTAAATTGAGTTAGCATTGACATCAAGTCACCCTACATTAGCATAGGTTAATTAGGTTAAAAATATTGTTTCTATCAAAAAGAGGATAGGTTTGTTTTCCAAGATAAAATAAATCACTAGAGATGCCATTGGCACAGAGTATGATATTGTTTAGCCTGACCGTGATAAGTTATGTCACACTTTTTTCTGCAGGGGAACTACACTAAAGAAACAAACAGAGGAGAGGCTGCATAACACAAGTGCATTTTTGAACAAGTTGTTACAATGGATATGAACACTATTCTCTCTTCTGGTGAAGTGAGTATTCCCAGAAAAAAATATAAATTCTCACTTAGTTTACTGTGTCTATTGCACTTTATTGACAATAGACTGCAATTGTCTATTGAAGTCTATTGCATGTCTTGGGACATGCATCTTCTAGAGCAGTTTAGAGAATATAATTATCAAGGGCATTTAGAAAACAACAAAACCTTCAAAATAAATCTGCTGGCAGATGGCATTTCGACAACATCCAAAGAAAGCGTACCCACTATAAGGAAAGGTATTTAGCATTCAGAGTCCTGTCCAAGGCCCACTGAAGTGATGGGCATCTCTTCAAGCAACTTCAATATGCTTTGAAATAGTTCTCTGTATTGAAAGCTGTTACTTAACTAGGGAGTCCTGCAAGCCACTCAAAACCTCTTACATCCCTGGTGACAGCCGTATGCATTTTAGAAAATAAAAAAAAATTAACAGTAGTAGTATTGTATGAAAGAAATAAATTTAGTTCTGTAAACCAATATTTAATTTTACATACCACAGTATATATAAATGGCTATTGTGAAATGTTTTGATTCATCCCGACATAATTCATCTGAAAAACTAATTAATAGAAGCAAATAGTAGTATTTTCTTCTTTCCTATGCAATTCATGGAAGTAACAAAGGACCTTGCTACCTGCACCATATTTCCATCTCTCCTCACTTTCTATCTCAATTACCCAACACACTGGTAATTTCCAAGATAATATTGCTCTTAAAGAACTAAGAGACTTAAAGGGAAAATTTTCAAGTTCCCATTAATTTGGAGAATTTAAATAACTAGGTGCTTAACTTGAGAAGCTCAGTTCCTGGGGGTTTTTTGTTTGTTTGCTTGTTTTGTTTGGGGCCATGCGTCTCATTATTATTAATTAGAATTGTCATTGCTTAACACTTTTAAAAAAGCAAGGGCCTGTATGCCTCATGTTTTGATATTTGCCATAATAGGAACACACAATTAGAGGACACTTCTGAAAGTAGATTTAAAATTAATTGCAGCATGACAAAAGTTCCCATCTTTCCTGGGTCCCAGTTAAGACCAGTTTGCCAAAGGCTGGGCAAGTTCCCAAAGGGGTTCCCACTAGCAACACTATAATTAAGGAACTTTCACCACTTCTCCTACAATAATAGTGCAAGGTTGGCCATAAATGTGCAGCTAGAAACTTAACATGAAAATAAATGGGCTTCCCCTATTTTAAATTGAAATGAGGGAGGGGAATGTTTGATTTGTTCTTGCAACTCTGATATAGCTTAACAGAAACTTTCATGCAATTATCATACTTCTAAATGTTTGTATCTTTCTCTAAAAATCCTTATTGATAAAGAAAACACTTTAATAACAATTGTTAGATGCTTAAACATGTTAAAAATGTACATGCTCACAAACATTCTTGCTTCAGGTGTAGAAATAGATGTAGTTGGATGCAGCTGACTTTGGTTAACTTATTTTGTCTTTTCTACTGACTTGGAGCATTTTTTTTAATTGACATATCACGTAGGTTTATGAGTAAATTACTTCTGTAATACATGCTGATTTGCCAGCATGACTTCACTGATCAGTACAAGAAACCACAATGACATTGGAGCACTCTTTAGGATTTGGTTAAAGGTCCCTAAATACCAATTTAAACAACAGACCATAATGGCTACTGTTACTGTTAATTCCTTAAATTATGTCTTGGGGGTCAAAATTCTGTTCTTGGATATCTAAAGGCTGGAGTAACATGGTTGTGAATGTGTAAATACCTTAGAAAGCAAACATGCTTCTCTCACCCAGCCAACTAATCCAAATATATAACATACTTGCGTAGCCCCCAAAGCTCTCAAAACTACATCTCTTTCCTAATCTACATTGCCACCCTTTGGAGATAATGGAGACAGCAGTAAGAGATAGTAAATTCCAGACCCAGTTGTCAATAAGCTGTGGAGACTCCGTAGAGTGTACAATAGAATTGAAGTGTACTCCCAGATCTCAGCATCTATGTGAAGGAGGAAAAGTGCCATTTCACATACCTGTTCCCCACAGGCAATATTAGGAAGAGGAGAATACTGCTAGCATGTGCACATAACCCATCAAAATATGTTCTCTGTGTCTGAAAATTAGAAGCCTGTCCTGGTCTCCTTTCCTGCTTATTTCATGCCACAGAAAATGGGCACTTGCAAAAGCTCTACAACCATTTGCACAGTTCCCAGTCACATTACAAATGCATATGCAGCACATGCACCCGCTCATCTCACTCTCCACACACTAATGCACATGCATTCACTCACATGCACACTTTCTCACATAAAACCCAGGCATCTGGGACACATGTGGACATGCACACACACAGGACCCAGGCATGGCCCCCCAGCACACACTTCTCAGAGATCTTGAATAAAGTATGTTGTTGCACCATGTAACAGAGATGATTTCATCCTCAGAAGTGTGTGATTCAAGGCCTTGACTACATGAAGGAAAATTAATAGTGATATAACTAGATCAATGTCGATGCACTGTTGTAAACTCCTAATGGGTTGCACTGCTGGAGTGTAATACAATCCAGTAATATATTGAATTTAGCTCCTGCTTTGAACCAGTACAAGGTCTATGTTAAGGGACAAACTGATGTGGTTAAACTAGTGTGAATGGTCCTAATACAGACAGACCCTGTTTATTGTGAAACTCTGGGTTTCAGAAGAACAGATCAGTGTAACAGGTGTTTCAGGATTAACTCTGAATTTGCAGGCTTTTCATAGGATAAAGCCCTGATACTGCTACTCATCTGTAATCATATCAAGGATGTGCAGGACTCTGCCCTTCTCAAGGAGATGATTAAAGCACTGAAGAAATACTTTAATCTTAATTTGTTTACCCAAACTGTTTTTAAGGCAGGTGTTCAGTGAGGAAAATAGTCCAGGGGAAGATAGCAGTGAGGCACTAATGCATTTCATTGATTAAACGATATCTTGTAGTCATTGTTAAAAATTGCATAACTTTGCTCATTTCATTCATTAACAGAGAATTTAGAGAGCTGCATGTTGTAATTAATACCTTCAGATTTTCTGTTTTGGTTAAGGTTACAAAACTGATCTGAAACAACTGAAGTTACTGGAAGTATTTCCACTGATTACTGCAAATTTTGAATCAGGCTGTAAGACCATAGATGGGAACCTTTTCTTTCCTGTGGCAGTGAGATGCTGTACAGTAAATTGTATTTGACAAGGCTGTTTCCCAAAGATTAACAATGGTTAGATTAAGCTGCCCTTGATTCTACCATTTAATCCAGCACTGCTGGCTTGGTATTTGGAACAAAACATGGCATGGTTACTGGACACACTTCTTATCTTTTAACAATAATTCAGAACCCATAACATTAGTTTTTGACAACTAAATTTTTCCTCAGTTGCCATGAGAACTTCTATGAAGAAACTAGTAGCAGAAATCCAGAACGTATAGTACCAGAGCAGCACTGGTATGTAAGTGGAGAGTTGCATAGCTAAACATTGCACATACTTCTCAGGGATAATTTTCCTAGAAATATTTCAGCTTTTAAAAACTGCATTGATGGTATTTCATACCTGTGTATGAATAAAAAGAGCTGTCTTAGTACCTTGAGTTGCTTGTAAAAGCCTGAAAAGAGTGAGCTTTTGAAATCTCCTAAAAAATACCAGAGGAACTGCTACATTCAAGATGCTCTTACATTTACTGAAACATCCTGAAGGAAGAGCTAGAAACAAGGACTGTATATCCCACTGAAAAACTCCCATTTCCAGCGCAGGAGGGTCTTAACGTACCAGATCATTTTAAACTTGTCATTACTGCAGGAGTGAAGTGCAGACTGGTCAGAATTCAAGTTAGTGCAAGTATAGCAGAAAGCCAGCATGTGTGGTATTAAAGAGAGAAATGCTGTTCTAATGCATTGTTTTTTTTGGTTGTATTTTCTTCCTTGTTTTGAAGCAAAGACAGCCAGTTTTAAAGGCCTGAAATGCCAGGAAAGATTGTGCCCAAAGATGATTTGGTGAAGAAAGGTCAAAATAGATTGTAGAAGTGCATCATAAGATGACATTGTTCTGCAGTTGTCACCTATAAATGGATAACAAGGTCCAGATGGGAAGTCAGGCCTGAGTACAGATTTCAGCACCGAGTTGGAGATTTCACATGTGTGCACATGATGAAGTAGCCCATTTGTGGCTATTGGATATGTGCATGTTCTCTGCAATGGCAAAAGACAATTACTTTGCTCTTAAAATGCTATATGTAATTTTCTATACATGCCACTAAAAAACAGGATGGGCAAAAAACAGGATTTTTGTTTGTTTTTTCTTTAATGGGCAAACTTTCATTGTTGCATTACATGTGCTATTGGTTTCAGTTTTGTTTAGTACATTGTGAAGAAAAGAACACCATGCTTTTTATTTCATGACACATTAGTAAAATCTAATAAATATGATGCTCATACAATGAGAAACTACCAAAACTGCTGGAAAATGCTGATGCAACAAGAATCCCTGGGCAAAATTAGAGTGACCTTTGAATGCTACAAGGGAATCATTTCAACCTTACTTCCAGGACAAGTGACAAAACAGCAAATGTTTGAGTAGAAAACTCTCATAGTAGCTTGTTCTTATAGTTTGTTCATTGTTCAGAACTCTGCTAAGATTTATTAGTTCACATTCATGCACTCAGCCACCACGTCATATTTCGCTTACTGATTGAATGCTGCCTTAACTAAAAAGGTCTGAACTCAATAGTAGAAATTTTGTTTATGTAATCAGAATTATACAAATAGCATGCAACCTCAGTTGAAGTGGAGATACTGAGTGGTAAACAACGAGTTTTAAGCATAATAATATTTTGGTTTTTTATGCTGTCTACTAGGGCTGGATCCAGACATGCAGGCACATGCAGTTTGTGGCACTGCAAACCTCTTTGCGGTGCCACAAACCGCACATATTGAACGTTAAACCATGTGTGGTGCTACTAATTTGCAGCGCCAGGGCAAAATTTGCTACCAGGAT